AAAATATAAAATAAAAACTAAAACTGAAATCACATAAAACATGTATAAACTAAAACACAACAAAATGACCAAAATTTTTACCTAAATTAAAATGAAAACAGAAAATATAAAAATAAAAACTGAAATAAAAAAAATGTATAGACAAAAACTTTAAATAAAATGTAACTAAAAATTAAAATAGAAAATCTAAAAATAAATTAATATTAATAAAAACTAACAATATCTCAATGATACTACAATAACTGTGTAGAGCATTTACCACCGTTTGAAAAATGCACAAAAAATGAGCAGCAGACCTCTCTCCCCAGGGGTTCATCGTCTTATCTTATGAAAACAACATATCAGTGTCCCGAGAAAACCTTGTATGGAAGAATCGCATGAGGAAAAGACTCACATTCCCCCTGTAGGAGATATTTAGATATTAGCATCCAGTTCAGCGCCGATATACCCAACTGAAAGGCACCTTGGCGCCTGAGTGTGTGCTTGTGTGTGTGTGAACATGTTACTGTGTGTAGGAGCATGTCTCAGACACGACGATGGCGCTGATCTAATCGTGTGAATGTAATTAGGCTTTAATTGCTCAGTGTGTCAGCCTCTGGCATCTGTCTGGGCCCCAGATGGCAAATAATGCCCTCTGACGCTGTCATCTCCTAATCTCACTGTTACCAAACACTTCCACACAACTCCCACTGAAACCAAACACCTCCATGCCGCTGATGGGAGGATGACGACACACCTTTCACTGTACTTCATTTGCAATGTGCATCGTAATCAGTGTTTAGGAGTAACTAACTAAGCGGTCCTCTTTTCTACATGCTGACAGGTTAGAATGAAATAAAAGGACGATCAGTAATGTGTATATTCAGAGTGCATAGTGCTAATAAGCTTTGAAATAAAATAACAACTTGGAATCAATCATAGCTGGGGGGGGGGGGGGGCGAAAAGTCTATTTATTCATGTACTAAAATACAAAACACACATCTATAGCTTTCGTTGGTACTGGACGAATGATAGTTTGAGCTTTGGCCAACAGGAGGTGATGTAATTCTCAAAGTTTGTGGAAAAATTCTTTGATGCACTGAAAACAAATGGTGTAGGATTTACTTTGAAACAATTAATTGGTAGTACATTACAAATAATTACAAAGAAATTAAAATGAACACTGAATTCAACAAGAATTTTCAATTTTCAATTTTTTTAATTTTCTAAAAACATACTTTAGTCTTTAGATACAACTTTTTAAAAATCATTTTTTACAATATATTTGAATTAAACTTTAGTTTAATAGACTTTATAATAAATATAATAGACTTTAGTTCACTTTACAGTTATACAGTGGGGCAAAAAAGTATTTAGTCAGCCACCAATTGTGCAAGTTCTCCCACTTAAAAAGATGAGAGAGGCCTGTAATTTTCATCATAGGTATACCTCAGCTATGAGAGACAAAATGGTAACCCTCTTAAATATTTTCTTTATGCTTGTAAATGCTATGGAAGCCCGTTTCCGCCACTGAATCAAAAATAAAGAGGTAATTGCGACTTTTTATCTCACAATTCTGACTTTTTTTTCTCAGAATTGCGTGATATAAACTCTCAATTGCGAGTTAAAAAGTCATAATTGAGAGTTATAAACTCGCAATTCTGAGAAATAAAGTCAGAATTGCGTGATATAAACTCACAATTGCAAGACATAAAGTCGCAATTCTGAGAAATAAAGTCAGAATTGTGAGATATAAACTCTTTTTAAATTATTTTTCCCCCCTCAAAATTGGACTAACTCGCAATTGCGAGTTTATATCTCACAATTCTGAGAAAAAAAGTCAGAATTGTGAGATGAAAAAGTCACAATTACCTTTTTTTATTTTTTATTCAGTGGCGGAAATGGGCTTCCATAAAATGCTGTGTTGTTTGTTGCAAATATATATATATATATAACATCTGGCAAAGGGACTACCAATGAAAACTAGCCGTTGAGCTAATTTGGGTACATTTACATTCATGAATGTTGATCAATTTATATATATTTATACATTTTTCATTCTTTATTTATTTATTTTACATAATAGCATTATTGTATAACCGGCATTTAAATATAATCTTAAAGGGGTCATATGATGCTTTTTTAAAGATCATTATTTTGTGTATTTGGTGTAACAGAATATGTTGACATGCTTTAATGTTCAAAAAACACATTATTTTTCAAATACTGTACATTATTGTAGGTCCTCTATGCCCCGCCTCTCTCAAACGCTTAGTTTTCTACAAAGTCCCTCCTTCCGACAAGCGCAGTCTGCTCTGATTGGCCAGCTGACCCAGTGCATTGTGATTGGCCAAACACCACAAGCACTCATCGGAAATGTAACGCCCCTTACCATAATCCACACACACACACACACCCCTCTCTCTCTCTCTATCTCTCTCGCTCACGCGCGCACACACACACACACACACACACACCGCTCTCTCTCTCGCGCGCGCACGTGCACACACACACACACACACACAATGCGCAAAACTCCGCATTTGAACAGTCGATAGCAAATACTTAAACGAATAACAAAACCGTAGCTGATTCAGAAGCGCCAGATTGTCATAGCAAAGTCAGGATTACCTCCTCTCCTAGGTTCACGAAACGGTCGTCCATAAAATGCATTGCTGTTCTGTTGTAAGTCATCTTAAAGATTCCTAAATGCATCTACTTTCAGAAGGCCAAATAAAGAGCTTTTGCTTTCACCTAGAAACACACAGCGTCTCCCTGACATGCTGCTTCAACACTAACTGCGGTTACTGAAACCACGCCTTCTTTCTTTGCGTGAACATTTGGGCCGTGTTATGCAGATATTTCCACATAGTGAGGTAGATATGTGGGGGCGTGTTAGAACGAGCCGTTTTAGGGGGGCGTGGCAGAGTCTTAACTTTGATAAAGAATATCTCTTTGGTTTTGAGACTTTAGTCTTTGCAACTTCAGGGATCTTATCTATGCACAATCAGCTTGTAACACTCCAAAGAGAAAGGAAAACTTGAAATCGCATCATATGACCCCTTTAATGTGGAACAACTGAAAGGGATTTTGTTCCTATATTCTTATATTTTCTACAACAAAAAAAATTAATCCTTCAACTAAATCTATTTTTCCCCCAGTAATCAAGTGTGTTTTCTAGTTTTATTATAGAAAATATTGGCATAATTTTTTGTTAGGAGTTTGTCACTTTATTTTAAATAGTAGCTTGACTGTAAATTTAATTATAAGTAGCTTGTAGCTTCCCTAACACTGGTTTTAATGTGTGTGTGTGTGTGTGTGTGTGTGTGTGTGTGTGTGTGTGTGTGTGTGTGTGTGTGTGTGTGTGTGTGTGTGTGTGGGAATGATACGCTGAGATGAGCTTCATTCCTGTAAAATTCAGCCAGCCGAATGTACAATAAGATCTGAGACAGGTCTCGTAATCCAGTGCTGTAAATAGACTTACATTCCTCCTGTTATTGACCCGATATGAAGGACACCAGTTACACACACACAGCAAGTGTCTAAAGATCACGTCCCTCTGGATATTTTTATTCGGTCATAAATAGAATCATACAAGGAAGGATTGTGTCATTTTTATGTGATAGAATGAGTGTGTCTATATGATTGTAATGTTATGATTAACAACCTTTATTCTCCTCATTGCTGCAGTAATAGAGCAATGATACACTTACTGTGCTGATGGTTTGTGTTGTGTAATTTATTCATTAAAGGGATAGTTCACCCAAAAATGAAAATTTGCTCTTAATTTACTCATCCTCAGGCCATCAGAGATGTCGGTGACTTTTTTTTTTTTCTTGAGTAGAACAGTAAGGAAGATTTTTAGCTGAAACCGTGGGTCCTTGGTGATTCATAAAATGCAAGTCAGCGGCTACCAGCACTTTGAGAAACATATGAAGCAGTGAAAAAAGCATATACAGGCAAGATAAAATGAATACCTGTGACTCCTGACGATTTATTGAGGATAAGATTTTTCATAAATTTATCATAAGAATGAAGTGAAACTATCAGTCTGTGCCAGAAACTGAACATTATTTACAACATTATAACCTCTAATCCAGAGGAAAACGGTCCAGAGTGATGTCCAGTTCACAAACAAATCATTTTTTAGGGAAGTAGATGAACCAGTTCACCAGTTTCTCACAGTTTATGTAAAAAGGTGAGTTGTTTAAGACTAGTTTATTCACTTCATATGCTTTATACATGCAAAACATTTGTGTTTCACATCATTATTGGTGCTTTAATAATATTATTGCGTATACATGACATCATTACATGATTACACAAACAAAATCGTTATTTGAACCAGTTCACTGAAACGAACTGTCCGAAAGAACCAGTTTGTGAAAAATAATAGGTTTGAGGCTCTGAATTTCAGGAAATAATGTTGTAAAAAATGTTCAGTTTCTTGCACAGACAGATAGTTTCACTTCATAAGAGCTCAACATGTCAAGAGGCACAGATATTCATTTTGTGTTGCCTGTATATTCTCGTTTCACTCTCAAACTTGCATTTTTTGAATCACCAAGCACCATGATTTCAACCAAAAATCTTCTTTAAATTAACAGAGAATTTTCATTTTTGGGTGAACTATCTCCCTAACTCTACACTCTTAAAAATAAAGGTTCCAAAATAACAGCGATGCAATAGAAGAACCATTTTTTCGTTCCTCAACAAACAAACGAACAGTTCTTAAAAGAACCATTTTTTTCTTAATATGAAGAACATTTGAAAAATCTAAAGAATCTTTTTCAACTCTAAAGAAGCTTTTGTGGAATGGAGTGGTTCCATGGATGTTAAAGGTTCTTCATGGAACCATCAATACCAATAAAGAACCTTTATTTTTGTGAGTGTACTGATGGTTATGTAGTTTGTAGTCGATTCAGCTGTACTGGTGTTTGTGCCATTTATTGCAGTTGATCTGATATTTGTGTGTTTATTCTCCGTGGTTAACTGACGGTGTGCTCTGTGTTTTATTTCAGTGTCTGTACGGCTGCTATGTCCATTCCTCCATCATTCCTACGTTCCACCGCCGCTGTTACTGGCTGCTGCAGGTAAGAGTTCAGCTGCTTCCCTTACTATTTAACCCTAAACGATGCTTCAGATGCAGGACTAACACAACTGCAAACATCTTTCATCAACATCCCACTAATAACTCTGTCGTCTTGAGCTCTATGTCTCTCCCTCTCTGTTAAATGCATGAACAGTCTGACAGCGACGGCAGTAATTGAGGGTCATAAAGACGTTTGTCAGAGTTTATTAGCAGCCAGAGTTTGTCGTACAAAGTAGTCGATCAGTTCTATGGCTAGATGATGCTTTGGGCCTGTAGACACGTTACAGATCAGATTCTTCTATTTGGCTGTTTATAAGTGAACTACAGTTCGTTTGGTCGATCTCTGAGACCTGTGAAACTAGCCAAGTGTTGTCCGCAGACTGACAGAAACTATAAGCGTGTGGGATGTGAGGGGTTTTGTGCTGCAAGCAGCATCAGTCGAGATGTGCAAGCTTTCATTTCTTACCCTCAGCATCTCAGCTGAGCTACATTAGCTAAACGGTGGCTAGCCAACTAGTAGATCTCAGTTTGGGGGTCTAATTGACTAGTTGAAGGTCAAATTAGTAGTTGTGCAGGTCCTAGCATGTGTATGACATTTGTATATGTGTGTGTGAGTTTGGATACATGTGTGAGGTTTTGCCGACGTTGTTGAGACCAAATGTCCCCTCATGGATAGTAAAACCTGAAATCATCTACACTGTGCGGAGCAGCAAACAGCGCCCATGAGGAAACGACTTAATAAACATACTAAATAATGTCTTCATGGAAATATAAAAATGCAATGCGTTAGCTTTAGGTGCAGGGGATAGAAAATATTATTAGCACAGTATAAAAACAATCAATGGAAAATCCCCACCTTGATAGAAAAGCAAGTGTGTGTGTGTGTGTGTGTGTGTGTGTGTGTGTGGGTGGGTTTATACTTCAAGAGACGAAATTGCCTCCAGAAGAGAGCTGAATCTGACAAAAATGTTCTCTAGGAGTTTCAAGGAGAAACAAATCATATATAAAGTAAATAATATTATTATTTTTTTATTCTAAAAATGCAGAAAGTTTGCTTTTCCAAGTCATTCCAATAGTGCTTATATAAAGTCTGAGAGCACTGGGACTTTTCACTGTTTGTAAAAAAAAAAAAAAAGACAGACTGTCGGTTTGTTAATGGTGAGGATTTTTCAGTGACTCTTTTTATAGATCACACTTTTATACCAATAGATGGCGATTAAATAACTGCCTTTCTGAGTGAGTAATTTGAATCACTTACTCACCTGATTCATTCAAAATTACTGATTCATTTGGGAATAAAACAAGTGACTTTATGAGAGAGTTCAGTATCTAAACAATTGGCTGACTTGATTGTCAGTCATTTGAATTATTCCCTCAGCTGGTTTGTTGAAAAATACTGATTCATTCTGTAACAAACAAGTGACTGTCTATATGAATTAGTCATTTGATTCATTCCTTCTACCAATTAGTTCAAAACCACTGATTCATTCTGTAACAAAACAAGTGACTCTCTTTATGAATTAGTCAATTGAATCATTCACTCAACTGACTTGTTCAAAAACACTGATTTCTTCAGTAATGTGAAAAGTGGCTGACTTTATAAGTCAGTCATTTTGATTATTCCCTGAACTGATTTGTTCAAAACCACTGATATATTGAGTAACAAAACAAGGGGATTTCTTTATGAGTGAGTCTTTTGAATCATTCTCTCAACAAATGTATTCAAAACCACTGATTCATTCAGTAACAAAACAAGTGGCTGGCTTTGAGTGAGTCATTTGAATCATTCATTCAAATTATTTGTTCAAACACACTAATTAATTCAGTAACAAAACAAGTGGATTTCTTTACGAGTGATTTCATCAGAAATCAGAAAGTCAGAAAGTATCAGTATTAATAAAAAATATGGCCTCAAACAGTATATTTATAGTCACAAGTATATCAGAAAACAGGTTGATGTTTGGATGAAAGACAATTTAGGTGCGTGAGATGAACTATGAAATATCTTTTCTAAAAGCAATTTTATAATTCACGGTGTGTGTGTGTACCCGTTTTTCTATTCTGGTGGGGACTTAAACCTGAATACACACAGACTCATGGGGACTCGTGTCACGGTATATATATATATATGGTATATATATATATATATATATGTATACGGAACCTAAATTGAGGTCCCCACGGGTAAGGTAAACAAGCTAATAAATCACACAGAATGAAGTTTTTTGAAAATCTAAAAATGTCGAAAGTTTCCTGTTAGGGTTGGTGTAGGGCGATAGAATATACGGTCTGTACAGTAGAAAAAGCATTACGCCTATGGAGAGTCCCCACAAGGATAGCAAACCAGACAGTGTGTGTGTGTGTGTGTGTGTGTGTGTGTGTGTGTGCGTGTGCGTGTGCGTGTGCGTGTGCATGCTTGCGTGCGTGCGCGTGTGTGTGTGTGTGTTTGGTTTGGTTTAGTCTGAATGGAAGTGTAATGGGAGTTGAGGGATGAAAACATGTTAAACCATAGAACAAAACGAGGAGAAAAGAGAAAGAAGTCATGTGAAAAAAGCGAGAGAACCCAGTGGTGATAAAGCCAATTTAAGCTGTCAGATTTCTCACAGTTACAGAGGCTTGAGCTCAGCTGGGCAGGTAAGAATGATTGATTACAGAGAGGGCGAGTCCACCTACATTACACAGAGAGAGAGAGAGAGAGAGTAAACCTACCCATACACACTTACAACGCTTAAAACTTTCATCCTTACACCGGCACACCTGCCCAATCACAAGCAGATTATCATCAGCAGGGTTTGATTTATGAAGCAGCACTTGCTACATATTAATGTTATAACGCAGGATGGTGTCTGCATACAAATAGAGCGCAACAGTGGAGCTCTGAGGAAAAAAATCCCATTCATTTACTCCATAGAGAAATTGATTTTTAGTGATAATGTATAAAGCCTTCAGCGCAGACCTACGGTGAGCTCTGAGATTGTTAAGTGATGGTCTAAACTTCTGTAGACTTCTAAATATCATATTTAATAGTGAAGAGGTGTGAAGAGCTCCACCGATCAGAGCAAAGTTGCTGTTACTATGGCAAAAGAGCAGCATCGTGAATGTAAATGTGAATGTCATCTTTTGTGATTGAATGTTTTTGAAAGTCTCTTCTGCTCACCGGCTATAATTATTTGATTAAAAATACAACAAAAAAAAACATAATATTGTGACATTTTTCTATTTGAATATATTTTGAAATGTTTATTTCTGATGAAAAGCTGAATTTTCAGCATCATTACTCCAGTCTTCAGTGTCACATGATCCTTCAGAAATCATTCTAATATGCTGATTTGATACTCAAGAAATATTTATTATTATCAGTGTTGAAAAAAGTTGTGCTGCTTTATATTTTTGGTGGAAACTGTAATAATTTTTTCAGGATTCTTTAATAAATAGAAAGTTCATTAGAACAGAATTTATTTGAAATAGAAATCAACTGTCACTTTTGCTCAATTTAATGCATCCTCGCTGAATAAAAGTTCTTAAAAAAATTCTTACTGACCCTAAACTTTTCAACAGTGCTGTATGATTGGCATCATTTCCATCATGATGTTGTAGGTGTGCAAAATGTAGGCAAACATATGTTGATGTAATCATGTTTGTGATGTCATAAACATGATGATTTCTGAACGAGGCGTTATTTAAATGTTTGGGCTAAAAAGAAGAAAAAACCTTAGGAGGAACCCATTCTTCTCTGCTCAGCAAAGTTTTGTCCATACATCAATTACGACACCAGCCATAAGATAAAAAGATGGTTGTGTTAGCAGTTAGCAGTCAACCAATAGAGATAAACGGGTATAAAAAGGATACAGGAAATGTGGCGCTGTGCTGCACACATAAAGAGGAAGTTGAGTGTGTTTGCGCTCAGAGATGCTCATTGACTTATGCTCCAGCAGAGAGATTGGACTCACAAGGTTGCACAGCAGTGATTGGTGCCCCGCCGAGCTCTCCGATAGCTCAAACACACACACACACACACACACACACTTCATTTGGCACTGTCAATCACACCTGTCAAGGTCAGTCTTTGTACTTTTGTTCACATTCGTCACTTAGTTTTAGAAACTTGAAAGCCCATGGACCCTGCTATCATGATGTCGATGGTTTAACCTATATATTATAGCTGGAAAATGAAAAAAATAAATAAATAAATAACATTCTGTTGGTAAAAAATATGTTTTGCTTTATTGCCAAGTATGCTCGCACACGCAAGGAATTTGTTTTGAATTTACGTCTAGTACACAGAGACAACAACAACAACACACAGATAATAAAATTAAAAATAAACATATGTGAATAAAATACTCATGTAATAAAATTAAAAGGCAGAAAAAAATATTTTGTTATTAAAATGAAAAAAATAAAAACTTGTAAACCAATGTGGGACCATGCTAGATCATGACAGATGATTTATCCTATATATTATGTCTGGAAAAATTTATTAAATTAAATAACAAAACTAAATTATACAAACTAAATAAATAAATACATATATATACATGGGTATAAATAGATAGATGGATGCGTGGATAATAAATTAAACAAAAGCAGAAAATAAAGGCATTTTTCTTTTGCTAAAAATGATTAAATAAATAACAAAATTAAAAGAGAACTTTTTTAAAACTTTTTTAAAAGTAAATAATGATATAAAAGGCAGAAAAAAGCAATGTTTCCGTTGTTGAAATGTCAAAATAAATAATGAAATAAAAATATGAAAAATAAAGTATTTTTTAATTATTTAATATTTGTTCAAATGTTATCATTTAAAAAAAATTTGTTAAAAATGTTAAATATTGGGATTTTAAAAATCCAAGAAAGAAAGAAAATAAAAAAATTCTGTTGCTCAAAATAAATAATGTAATAAAATAAAAAAAGTATTTTATTTTTCTATTTGTTAAAATAATGATATAATGCATATAATATTTTTTCTGATGTTAAAGTGCTTTCTTATCAGAGCTGGTC